GTGTGTCTAACCAGATTCAATCCACATCTAAGTGAAAGCAAAAATGTACGTTAATTCTTATTTTATTTTGAAAATTTGGAATGATACTTTAGACTTTCGTCTCTCTATCTATACAGATTCTATCATTTATTTCCCCATTTGAGACTTCAAAAAATAGAGTTTCGTTTCAAATAAAAGCCTCAATGATCATGACCCTCCACGGAAAAATTTTCGAATGTCAAATGGAAATGGGTTTTTCCAACGGGTTATTCTTTACTTTGGTTGTCATGAGAAATAAGAATGATGTTTTGGCCATCGTTTCTACCATCTAAACACTCTTATCCTTTGCATCCTCATTTGAACCTAAATTGGTGGTTCGTTTCAAAAGCACTTATGATTGCACCCCCACACTGGGGAAGGAGATTTCAAAAAGAAAAAAAGAAGAAGAAGGGAGAAAATGCTACAAATTGGGGGAATTTGACTCTAACATTGATATTTGGTCTTCATTATCAAAAAGAAAGAGGGGCCATTTACACTCCAAATTAGGGAGTTTTCAATTTTATCATTGGCATTGGGATATCATTATTGGTAAAAAAAAAATATATATAATTAATTAAAAAAGAAAAGAAAAAGAGAGAAAAGAAAAATGTGAAAAAATGAAAAATGATGAAAATGAAAAAAAAAGAAAAATGTGAAGACATCCAATGTTGAATTCCCTCTAGTGATTGATTAAAAAAAAAAAGAGAGTCAAAATGGTGTCCCGGATTTTAAATCCAAAACTGGGGCAAATTTTGGGAAGAAGTGCGATCTTAAGTGCATTGTCCTTGAAAATTTTATTTTTTTTAGCTATCGTTGTCAAGCCACATTACAAGTTCATAAAGTCCATTGTTGACTTATTTTTCATGACAATTTGAAGTGAAAATATTGTCTCTAAGGAATCTACCAATCACTCATGATCATAAGACCATAACCTGTTTTCATATGTTTAGCTATCGTTTCTACCCATATATTACAAGCCTATACAGCTTATATGTTGACTGAGTTTTCTCAAAAAATAAGAGTGATAAGTTATTTGCTTTCACCAAGATGTGATATTGAATGTGTTGGATACAATTTGGGCACAAAAAAAAAAAAAAAAGAAAGACAAATCCTGTCATACCATTCCCCTGAGCCATCTCAAAATCTTGAATAATATCCATTTGATTGGTCCTAAAAGATGAGCTCATAAGAAAAGTGATCCTTTTCCCTCAACACCAATCCCAAAACAAGGAAGAGATCTTTTTCAATTTGGTCTTATTTTGAGGGATTTATCATGGAATCTTCTACATGAGTTTGGATATGATATTTAAATTCTTCATTTGAAAAATGTAGTTTCTATTCACATTGTATGTGATTATTTTGCAACTAAAATAAGCCCAAATCGGGGCAAATTTTTTTTTGTAATATATTTGTGAGACTTCACTAAATAAGTTCCAACTGAGGCAAAATTTTATAATACATTTGTAGGATATGTCCAAAGTCAAGTATATATTTTTCAAATCTTGATAAGTCAACACTTTGCATGAATCTTAATTGTTATATCATTGCTCAAAAAAAAAAAAAAACAAGAAGAGCAAAAAGAATTTGAAAATTCAATTGTTTCGAAAAATTCCCCCTTTGTGCAGGTGTTTATGGTTAAGATCGAGGAAAGGACGCAAGTGAAAGTCTTGCAAATTTGGAGAGCAATCATGAATAAAAGGGGGCGGTAATACTACCTTGCAAAGTGGAGGATCGGCTATTTTTGCAAAAGGAGTACATACTTCGGCAGCAAACTTGAAAGAAAAAAAAAGAGAAAAGAAAAAATAGAAAAAGGAAAAAAATGGAAAAAAGAAAAGGGGAATGAAAAAAAAAGGAAAAGAAAAGAAAATGAAAAAAAAATAGAAAAAGGAAAAAAATGGAAAAAAGAAAAGGGGAATGAAAAAAAAAAGAGAGAAGAGAATAATAAAAATGAAAAAAAGGGAAAAAGAGAGAAAAGAAAAAAGGGATTGAAAAAAAAAAGAGAAAAAGAAAAAGAGAGTTTTTCCTTCGATTTTGCAAATTTTGCAATTGAACACTGGGAGCATTTCATTGGAGATTACATTGCCAAGTTGGGGCAACATCTTATGCTTCGAAATGAAAGTGGTAATACATGCCAAAACGAGATCCCGTCCTTGCACATTTTGACAAAGGCTCGGCAGAAGAAATCAAATGGATTAAGGAGCACACTGAGTTGCTGTCTCTTATTGATGAAAAAGAGGTTGAATGTTTGTCATGGACAATGCTATCATCAAAGGATGGTTCGTTGGCTATGACAAGAAAGATAAATCTCGCTTATTTGAAATGAGGGATAAGGTTTTGAAGTAAATTCTTCCGATTCAAGAGGAGGTTAAAGAAAAGTTTGCTCCAACTTAGCAAGAGTCATTTATTGTTCAAAGAGTGCTATTCGGAGGAACGCCCATTCTCATAGAACTGGATGGACAGGTGAAAACCTGAAAGGGTGTCTTCAAAAGAAAAAAAAAAAGCAAAAAAAAAGAAAAAAAGAGAATGATGAAAAAGAAAAAAAAAAGAGAAGAAAATGAAAACAAAATAAAATAAAAAGGTGTGACCTTTGTGAAAATCCGAAAGGTTGAGGTCATCAAGGTGAGATTTTGGAGCACAAGAGAATCATGAACGAAAAGCGGGTTGCTGACACTTGAGATAGTTGCCATTCATTCAAATCTGATCATTAGAAAAGTTGATTCGTGGTACAAAGTGAGGTATGGCTGACTGATGCTAGAAAATTGAGAAGATTCAAAACAAGTTGCAGCACAACTCTTGAGGAGCAGTTTTGACATCGAAAGATCATGCTTGCATGGTCCTCAGGGCCAAAAGGAGCACAAGGAATCACATGGTATTGGTATTATATGATTACTTTTTCGGCCTCTCGAAGGCAAGAAAATGTGGCCCTTGCTAAACATGATTTATATTGACGCAAGTATCAAAAAGAGGGAGCTCCAATTTTGGAAATGCATTTCAAATCTGCTTTGAAAAAAAAAAAAAAAAAAAAAAAAAGGGATGCCTTACACTGGGGCAAATTTTGAAAAATTGCAAGTTGAAAAGTTATTACAAGACCGTTTTTTTTATTGTCGTTGGGCATGGGTTTTATCCCTCCAACCTCGGCAGGCTCGGGTTTTATCCCACTGACCGTTTTTTTTATTGTCGTTGGGCATGGGTTGTATCCCTCCAACCTCGGCAGGCTCGGGTTTTATCCCACTGACCGTTTTTATTGTCGTTAGGGCATGGGTTTTATCCCTCCAACCTCGGCAGGCTCGGGTTTTATCCCACTGACCGTTTTTTTATTATCGTTGGGCATGGGTTGTATCCCTACAACCTCGGCAGGCTCGGGTTTTATCCCACTGACCGTTTTTATTGTCGTTGGGCATGGGTTGTATCCCTCCAACCTCGGCAGGCTCGGGTTTTATCCCACTGACCGTTTTTATTGTCGTTGGGCATGGGTTTTATCCCTCCAACCTCGGCAGGCTCGGGTTTTATCCCACTGACCGTTTTTATTGTAGTTGGGCATGGGTTTTATCCCTCCAACCTCGGCAGGCTCGGGTTTTATCCCACTGACCGTTTTTATTGTCGTTGGGCATGGGTTGTATCCCTCCAACCTCGGCAGGCTCGGGTTTTATCCCACTGACCGTTTTTATTGTCGTTGGACATGGGTTGTAAACCTACAACCTCGGCAGGCTCGGGTTTCATCCCACTGACCGTTTTTTTTTATTGTCGCTCGGCAGGCTCGGGTTTTATCCCACTGACCATTTTTTTTATTGTCGTTGGGCATGGGTTGTATCCCTCCAACCTCGGTAGGCTCGGGTTTTATCCCACTGACCGTTTTTATTATCGTTAGGGCATGGGTTTTATCCCTCCAAACTCGGCAGGCTCGGGTTTTATCCCACTGACCGTTTTTATTGTCGTTGGGCATGGGTTGTATCCCTCCAACCTCGGCAGGCTCGGGTTTCATCCCACTGACCGTTTTTTTTATTGTCGCTCGGCAGGCTCGGGTTTTATCCCACTGACCGTTTTTTTTATTGTCGTTCGGCAGGCTCGGGTTTTATCCCACTGACCGTTTTTATTGTCGTTGGGCATGGGTTTTATCCCTCCAACCTCGGCAGGATCGGGTTTTATCCCACTGACCGTTTTTTTTATTGTCGTTGGGCATGGGTTGTATCCCTCCAACCTCGGCAGGCTCGGGTTTTATCCCACTGACCGTTTTTATTTTAGTTGGGCATGGGTTTTATCCCTCCAACTTCGGCAGGCTCGGGTTTTATCCCACTGACCTTCTTTTATTTTCGTTGGGCATCGGTTTTATCCCACCAACCTCGGCAGGCTCGGGTCGCATCCCACTGACCGTTTCTCTTGATTATTTGGTTAATAATTGTGCTTTAACATTCATTTTGTATTTCCTATTTAGAAGTTCTGAGAGCTCAAACTTTTTCGACTTTGCAAAGACCGCAGTTTGTCAATGCACTTGTTTCATTGTGGTTCACTTGCATTCGAACTACGTTTGACCTGATTCCCATGGTGGGATACGTAGGCAACTCTACATGGGTTCGGTCACATTTTCTGCAATGTTATTGCATCATTTTGTCCAATAATTTCAGCCAAGTGTTGGCTTGTTTATTTTAGTTCAGGTACAGCTAGAAGTGACAGGTAAGCAATTTGGTGTCTACGTCTTTGTCTTGAGTTTCTTTGAAACTCTAGACAAAGAGGGGCAAGCTGTAGACACCAAATTTTTGTCAATTTTTAATATTTTCTCAAGATTTTTCTATTTAATGAATTATTTATTTTCTAACATTTTAATGTGCATTTTTCTCATTTTTGCAGGTTTGCTTGAAAAAAAAAGAGAGAAAAGAAAAGAAAAACAAACCAAACAAAAAAAAAAAAAAACACAACAAACAACAAAAAGAAAAAAAATCATCATAATCATTTTCTCTACCAAAACAACTAGTAACCCATTCCACACTCAATTGCCATGCACCTTTCTTTTCATTGGCAGAAGTCATCATTTCGGAAGATTGAGCACACAAGCTCCATTTTGGCTACAAGTATCTCTCGGCTCTCTTTGGCTGCCACAGGAGACAAGCCACAACAAGAAAAGAAAACTCCCTGGGTTCTCCCTCTCGGCTCCCTCTCTTTTTTCCAGCAAACTCAACACACAATTCAGAAACAAGGAGGCAGCCGCCGGTTGGACAAAGAGCCTGGAGCTTCCTCGAAATTTTAGTCAAAGGACCACAACCTCATTGAGGTATTCTTTCCAGCTTTTCCTTTTTTTAATTAATTAGATTAAATGCATGTTTGGCTACCTATTTGTCTCTTTCTTTCACTGATTTTGTTGCTATTGTGGTGTTGTTGAAGTTTTTTTGGGACAAGCCTGGATGAAATTAAGAAAAAAGAAACGATGCTGTGAATGCATGCCAAATGCTTGATAAAATGCCGAAATGGAAAAACGGATTAAAAAGCTGAATATTCTGCATGTTGTTGTCAAAACGGATGACCGTTAGCTAGCACCGGGCTTGGAAATGTGTGCTTATCTAATTTTTTTGGAGTTTTGAGCTTTAAAGACATTAGAATAATTTTCTTCATTTTTGGGGCTGTTTTGATTTAATGCATCCTTTTGTTGTTGTTTACTTGTCAAACTAAGATTATAGTTGTATTGTGGAAGTTATAAGGAGGGTTTTGGTATAATTTTTATGATTTTTGGTGAAGATTTGAGGGTTTTAAAAGAATAAAAACTGAACTGATTTCTTGGCATTTTGACCACTTTCGGCTCATTTTTTGTAAAAACTAACTCCGGAATTGGATTCTACGCGAAAAATCGAATTGGGGTGTGTATTTTGATAATTTTTGTGATCGGAAAAAATTCGCCGGCGACCGGTGGTGGCGGCGCCGGCAGCCGCCATGTCAGCCATGGTTGGCGGTGGCGAGGAGCTTCAGCCGGCCAGGCAAGAAAAAGAAGAACCGGGATGGTTGAAGAAGAAGTGGAGGAAGAAGAAAGAAAGAAAAGAGAAGAAGAAAAAGAAAAGAAAGGAAAGAAAAAAAAGAAGGTGGGTTGGGCTAAAATTTTTAGTGGGCTTGTTTCTTAATATCGGTTGGGCTAGAAGGTCAGACTCATGCTTCTTTTTTGGTTGGGCTTGAGGGATAAAAAGACGGGCTGGCCTGCTCGTTTCTTTTGGGTTTCGGTTGGACTTAGGTAGTATCCGGCCCAAAATAATAAAAATAACGGCCCGATGGCCTTTCTTCTCCCAAATCAGAAACCGAATTTTGCACTTTGGCCCCTAATCTTTGGAGTAGTTTTCACTGCGGCCCAGAACATTTTAAATTCCTTTCAACTCGGTCCTTAAATTAATTGCATTTTGGTCCTTGAATTCTATCTTTCATTTAATTTTGACCTCTAAACTTTGGAAAAATATAATTTTTGTCCCCAAAAGTTTTTCAGTTTTTGCAATTCAGTCCCTGATGAATTTTGACTCTCTTTATTATGATTGTTTCTTTTCTTTAATAGCTAATTATGTTACTTTTGAGTATGTTCAATTTGTAATTTTTAAATATTCTTAAATTTATTTACGTTTGACATATTGAGGTGAATTTTCATTATTATTAGTTTTTTCAATTAAATTGGTGCCATGATCCTTTTGTTCATTGTGAGTATAATTAGGACAATTTGACTCCATTTAGTCACCACTTCAAACGGGAGGTACTCCTATTTTATTATTTCAAAGTCAATTATGTGCTCTTATGTGCTCCTATGTGTTCCTATGTGTTTATATATTTTTATATGCTTTATTTATTTGATTTAAATATTCATTCAAATTTTCTTATATATGTTAGTTAGTTTTTATAATGATTCAAGATGCATTTAAATACCTCAAAAATGTAATAGATAGGATAATTAGATTTGTTTTATTACATTTTTCCCTTCTAGATTGTAGTTAGGCGCTCCCCGATGTAATAGATAGGTTGCGTGTTTATGTGGCTTATGTGTTATGTGTTTTATCCGCTTTTCTTAGGATTTTGGCATCTAGATATTATGTTTACGTGTTATGTGCTACGTGCTCTTATGTGTTTATTTGTTTTAATTTATGCTTTATTTGCTTCACTATGAATTGTTAATGCATAACGTCACCACACTAGTCCAACGCTAGTTGTGGCTTCTCTTTTCGCTTACTTGCTAGTCCAACGCTAGTAAGGATTTTTAGAAATGGGTTAGTCCAACGCTAGACCCTTTAGGCCGTCTTGCGTTAGATTCATCTTTGTGTGCTATTCACTACATCTTCATGCATATTTTTAGGATCTTTTCTCATTTGCATGATATTTCTTATTATATTATCCCCTACCCGCTATAGGTGCTAATCATGTCATTTAGAATTGCATCTCATTTAAGCTAGTTCATTTGCTTGTTCATGTTAAAATAATTATTTTTCAAACATGGGAAATGGGTGATTATAACTTTCTAGTTTAAGTACCCTATTAATCCATGTATAAGAAAATTATGTCACGAGTTTTGCCTCCCGTGCCCTTTATGTTGCATTCTCCTTTTCTTTGATCACTTATATATATGTATATAATTTAATTTTTTTCTTTTATTTTAATTTCATCATTTGCATATTGTGACACTTTCAAGGAATCATTTTGGCCTTCGCAATTAATGCGATTGGTTCAATTAAACCCCTTGAATGAACATTTTGTCCCTTTCGATATATTTAGATTTGCATCCATATAGGAAACATCCAAATATGATAAAATTAAGGGTTAGATTAGGAAAATTTTGACTAAACCTCGCAACTAGCTTAGACTAGGTTGAAAGGGTGCCTTAGGTTTGAGTCAATTGAACCTTTGCCTTCCCTTTCTTCAACCGTGACTCCCGAACCCATTTTCTCTTGTTTTCAAAGACCTGGAGTTGTCAAAAAGGGTTTTATTTTATTTTACTTTATTTTTGGGTGACTTGGTACACCAAAACTCCATACCAAGTGGCGACTCCTATTTTTTTTCTTAAAAACCCTTTTAGACTAAATTTTGGACCCAAATTGTCGCATACTTTTAAGTCCCATTCTAGGTCCTTTTTCATTTATTATTAATAAATCACATCTTTTTATAAAACACTTTCTTTTTCCATCTTGTAAAAAATGGGGCGCGACAAAAGACAAAAAAACACCAAACATAAATTTTACCAAATGGCTTCTTAGTTAATTGATATGGTTGGAGAATATTGTTTATCAATGCAATGATTCACTTGAAATTGTTCACCAAGAAGTTGCGTGTGCAGTGGATTTCTCTACAAAAACGCACGCAGCCTAATGTTTTTTAGATCTATTCCTGAATTAATTGACAGAACTTATTCCACAATGAACAAAAATAAAAACAATAAGGAAGGCTATGAGAGAGTGTGGAATAAACAAATAAAGAGACAAAAATTTATCTGTTTCTAGTCAATTAAACCTGCGGACTCAGATTAGGTGAATATTAATTAACCCCAAAACAAATAAAAGATTAAACAAATAAACCCTATCTCGTTGGTTGGTTTCAAAAGCATATTTTATCCTGTATTAAATGCGTTCTACATCTCGTCTTGATGATAGGGTTGGTGTTGGTTGCTTTTTCCTCCTTTCCACGACCATTCTCAAAATCCAAAATTGGCTTGTGGCTCAATCATGATCTTTTGTTATTCATGAGGTTACTCTTATCTAGCCTACCCAGCCTACACAGACCAAGAATATATGAGGATATTAAAATTTTTTTCTTTTGATAAAAGGCGAATTTTATTAATGAATTGTTGGAAATCGTTCAACATGATTTGATTTACATCTCGGTTTTAATGGCAGGTTAAACATGCACTTGAAATAATATTTGTAATTTAACAAAAGATACAATAGATCTGAATAATACAAGAAAATTTCAAATTGTCTTCTAGATAAATCACTTCAACTCTTCTATGCATGCATGTTCTAATTGTCAGATCTGTCAATCAATGAATTCATACTCCAAGCTCTCATAATGATAATGAGATTTGTTAAGATAAACCCAAGACCTGAAGCAATACCGAATTCAAACTCCAATAATGATAATGAGATTTGTTAAGATAAATCGAAGACCTAAAAAAATACTAGATTTGACAACTAGATTTAAAATAAATTTGGATAAAATAATAAAATAAGGATAAAAATAGAAAATTCTCACTAGTGACTTAGGTAAATCGCTACAACTCTTTTCTGTGTATGTTCTAAATACCAGATCTACTAATCAACGAGTTCAAGATTCAACAATGATAATGAGAACCATCAAGATAAATTCAAGACTCCAAAAAATACCAGATCTGATAATCAGATTTGAAATAAATTCAAATCAAATAATAAAATAAGGTTAAAAATAGAAAATTCTCACCAGGAACCTTTAGGAGAAACAGAAAATTCTCGAATCCCAAGGAGAAACAAAGGAGTCACTAAGAAAATTTAGAAGCAATTTTATTGAAATATACAATAAAACGAAATCCATGGGTCTCCCTCCCAAAGAAAAAGAAGGCTTTCCAAGAATATGAGAAGAAATAGGAAGAAGTTGGAGGAAGGAGACATAAAGTTACTAATTATGATATTAAAAAATTTTCCCATAAAAAATATCTGAGTTTATCCACTATAAATTTTATGGAGCACATTATCAACCAATACTATTTAGTGAAGTAGCTCAATCTATGAGTTAAAATGCTTCAATAGGAAACTGATATTCAATCTGTACTGAATTGACGACAAGATCTAAAAGTTAACAGTAGTTGATTGCATTGGAGGTTGGTTAAAATGATTAATGTGGTTCATATAGAGATTCTAAAATTGATTGATGTGATTAGAATTTCGGTCGGACAATGAAAGATATTATTGTAGAAATGCCATAAAGAGGCATGTCTACTCCACGTATCTGCAGCTCAACAAGATGGAGGAACGGAAGTGTAAAAGATTTTACGCAGGTTATTAAATTTAAAATTTAAAACCATGTTTTTATGAGAACATATATACATAACTCACACGGACTGCTGCTGCACATGAAGCAAATACTGGTCATTAGTATTTGTTTTATTCTTGGGCAAAGTTATTCCTTTATGCAGAAAATTTACTTGAATTTTTTAAAAAGCCAAAGGCCACCATCCAATTTTGACCCAATGTTAAAAAAAAAAAATGCTAAAAGGGTGTTTGTGACCGGTTGTTTAAAAGAAAAGAACCTTATTTGAGTAAAAGTGTTAAAAAACTATAGAAGATATTATCTACATAAGAGGTGTGGATGTGCCAATAATAATATACAACAAATGGGATGGGTTTATTGCTTTGTATTTAGAAGATAGGCACCATTTAGATGAAGATGATGAAATAAATGAAAGATATTGGCAACAAATGGATTCCCCCACATGGCATAATATCTAGAATATGTGCAAAGGCAGGCAAAAAAGGATATTCTCTCTGTTTCATTTTACTAGTCTTAATTTCTATTTTGGTTTGTCCCATTTTATTTGTCCTAGTCTGAAACGGAAATAAAAAAAGAATAACCTTTCTATTTTCCCCATATTTCAATTTCCAAAATGTGCATTAAAGTCGTGTTTTAAAATTAATTGCTCTAACGATCCATTGTGTAATTCACAAATTTAAAAATCAAATAACAAAACTCTGAAAAGAGTTATTTATTGGTTAGTCAAATAACAAAACTCTGAAACCGTA